AGTAGCTCACATCGGCCCCCACCGAGCTTCCCGGTAGGTCGGACCTCGACCAGGTTCACCTCGGCCCTCATACTTAGCATCTGTCAACGCTAGTGGTGGTGATCTCGGCCGTCCGAGCTGGGCATGACTCATGAGTCATCTTGGAGCACCAATAGGGGTCCTCCACGTGTCCAGGGTATTCTCTTCCCCAAACAACTACTAAAGCCAAGTATTAGTGGGAATAGAATTATATACTATGGCTAAAAGTTTTTTATGAGAATGAATTAATAAACATGGAAAACAGTCTAATACATTTTTAATACAATGTTCACGTGTCAGTAAATARAGTAAGGTATGATACTCCCTTAGTACAATAATTTTTCTCAATAACAATAGGTTATCGATATATACCAATCAAAAGGAGTTCTTACTCAAACATAATTTTACTTTTGATTTTTTATCCAAAAGACAGAGATAATTGTCCTCACCTATATAATATGGATCAATCCATTCTCTAAGTCAATGTCGGACTTTGTCTGTACTCTTTACAATCCCAAGAATAAATATATCTATTTATATTTATTTTTTAATCGATAAAAATACGTCACATTAAAGTCACTAGAAAATCCTACTAACTCACGTACCAAGTATTTTCTATTAAAAAAAAAAGTATTTTATCACCACAAATTTCTTTGTTATTCAGAAAAGAAGTATAATTCTTATGAAAGTGGTTAAACAAGTTTTATATACCTACAATTTAATGTCTTAGAAAATTAACGTGAAATACTTAGTTCTTACGTCCATGTTCTTATATTTCTCACCTTTAATTGTCAAATATTTAATGTATAAAGTTGGTTCTTACTGTTAAGACCGTCAAATAGTTTCCTAAAATTCTAAATTACAGAGATTGAGAAGGCAAAGTCATAAATTGTTAAATGGGTGATAAAATTTTGTATTAACTTTTTTATATATATAAAATATTTCAAATTCAGAACCCTTTTTCTGAAGATCATTATGCAGATAATTCCCCAACATTCGGCGCATCTGCAACCATACCACATTGCCACACGACAAGACACAAAGTTTCAAAAACAAAAACTGGAATTCCCCAGAAGTTTTTAAAGGCAAAGTACACGTGGAATGCTGCTGTCTATGCCACCTGCTCATCTGACACGTGTCATATTCCAGAAACTCCCCCTCTTTTCCTTTTTAATCCCACAACTTCAACTCTGCTCTCCAGTCACAGTGAAAAAACTGGAATTATGCAATCCAGATTGACGGCGATAGCGCCGAATTCGAAGTGGGCCTTCTCTCTGGCCCAATTACACCGTCTCCGGCGAGGCCTGGCCAGGCCGGAGACTGGTCGGACGGCTGACCCCTCCGTTCATGCCGTCGACGACAACGATCCCGCCGTTCCTTCCGGTGAACCCGAAGTATTAATCTCTCCAGTCTCCCCCTTAATTAAATTGCTCTTTCATACCATTTTGAATTAATTTTGCCGTTCAATTTTGGTCTGTAGAAATCACAGGAAGTTTCAGAACCGGATAATGCCAAAGCCAATTACGACAGAGAGGATTCCGGGAAAGGGGCAAAAAATGGGCCGTTTGGGCCAACGAAGGCCCAATACGGTTCCTCCCCGCGTTTAGAGAGCACGGGTGTGGGCCAGCCCTCGAAGCCCATCACCCAGCAGAAGAGGCCCCACGGGACGGTGATCGACGACGTGAGCTGCGTCGGGTTCGACGGCGGGCCGGCGCCGGAGGAGAAGGACGGCCGACGGACCGGCAGAGAAGAGGAGGAGGAAGACGAGAGAGAGTACTACAAGCACCACAAGGCATCGCCGTTGGCGGAGATCGAGTTCGCGGATACGCGGAAGCCGATAACACGAGCGACGGACGGGACGGCCTACGACGGCGGCGGGAAAGACGTGATCGGATGGCTGCCGGAGCAGGTGGACACGGCGGAGGATTCACTCCGGCGAGGGACGGAGATTTGGAAACGGAACGCCGTCCGCGGGGACCCCGATGCTCCCCAATCCAGGGTTCTTAGGGCTTTGCGTGGGGAACAGTTTTAAGTAAAGTGTTTTAATTTGTATTTATCAGACTTCTAATTTAATTTAATAATGCTAATACAAGTAAAGTTTTTTTGTTTTGGGTTTTGATTAGATCAAAACTTAAAATTAAAGCTTTCCCTAATCCTCCTTTAGTATAGCTAATTACATAGTGCCTAACACCATGTCTCTTAGATCTCATATTAAAAAGAAAAATAACATTACAAAGATTCTAATTTATAATAGACTTGAATTCACCATATAATGTATTATTCTTATTATAAGGATCTCATATTAAAATGGAAAATAATTTTGTAATAGATTCTTCTTATTCTAAGGATCTCATATTAAAATAATTTTGTAATAGAATCTATTAATATTTATAGTAGATCTTGACTGAACTCCACCATCAATAAAAAGAAGATATTACAAATATTTATAATAGAATATTACTCTTCTTATAAAGGATCTCGGGATCTGGAAAATAACTTTGTAAATGAAAAGGATCTCAGGGAAAGAATTTGTAAAGGAAAAGTAAGGATCTCATATTAAAAAGGAGAAAACAACTGATAGAAAAATAATATTATAATAGATCTTAACTCCTCAGGAATAGAAAAATAATATTACAAACATTTATAATAGATATTAATTGTCAATTTATAATAGACTATGATTTTGAGATAAAATAAAAATAATCTGCCAAACTAGATTTACAATAGATATGGTCGAACTATTTTTAAAAAAATAATGTTTGTTTGGAAATAGTTTGTCATCTCTTAAAGATAATGGGGTGAAATAGTTTGTCATCTCTTAAAGATAATGGGGTGATGTGACTTTCTTGATTGGAAATAGTTTGTCCTCCCATAATGTGATAGGGCAGATGACAGGTATAGCGAGAATTTTTTTTTTTTTTTACTAAATCTCAATATGTCGTCTATTGAAGAGACGAGATAACCATCATTGTATGTGAACCACGTATTACACTCTCTAAGAGAATAGTGAAATCTCCTTTTTAACTCATGCAAATGCAAAACAAGAGATGGTGAAATCTCTTTTAACTCATGCAAATGCAAAACAAACAGGTTGTTAAGAAATCTATTTTTTAAACCAGCTTTAAATTAAATTAAACTAAAAAGATTTATCAAAATTTTAAAAAGCATTCAAAATATGAATTAAATCTTTTTATAAAATAAATTACCATTAATACTAATGAAGAAGCAGAAAATGTGGAGAGTTAAATATCCATAAATGAGTTAAATTTATCAAACTCATTATGGGAGGGTGTTCTGTTTTTTTTTTTTTTAAATTGTCTCCACCGTTTAGTTTCACCTCCTAAAATCCAAATAAACACTCACACTAAATTTCAGGACTTTCTTCAATTTTAAATGCCCTATTTTTTTAATATAATTTTGTTTTGACTTGAGAAATGCTTAATTAATAATTTATTTTTTTGTTCGTCTTTTGATGATGGACGGTTCCGTAGAAGGTAAATCACCTGCTACTGGCTGGTGCACTCGCCCATACACATGCCCCTTTCTCTCTCTCTCTCTCTCTCAACCCAAAAAAATAAAATCACAATTTTCCCTCTTTTTCTCCCTCTTTATATCCCCACTTTTTTCCTTTCTCAAATTTCCAGTTTCATCACTGCAGCAATGGCCCATTTCATCTCCATCGCCATCTCCATCATTTTCACTTTTTCCTTAATTTCG